CCATGAAACCACCACCACAGTCAAGATATCTAACATTTCCATCACTTCCCAAGAGGTGCAATTTTTGAAATCCCAATTTATCCCTTCCCACCCCCTTTACCCCCTGGTAACCGTAAGTTTGTTCTCTAAGTCTGAGTCTGTTTCTGTTTTATAGATAAGTTCATTTGTGTCCGTTTTTTCAGAGTCCACATATAAGCGAAATCATGACATTTTTCTTTCTCTTTCTGGCTTACTTCAGTTAGAATGACAATCTCCAGGTCCATCCATGTTGCTGCAAATGTAATTATTGTTTTCTTTTTATGGCTGAGTAGTATTCCATTGTGTGTGTGTGTGTGTGTGTGTGTGTGTGTGTGGTACACACACCATATCTTCTTTATCCAGTCATTTGTTGGTTGACATTTAGGTTGCTTCCACGTCTTGGCTATCGTAAATAGTGCTGCTGTGAACATTGTGGTGCATGTGTCTTTTTGAATTATTTTTCTCCGGAATAGGATTGCTAGATCATATGGTAAGTCTGTTTTAGTTTTTTAAGGAACGTCCATACCGTCTTCCATAGTGGCTGCACCAATTTACATTCCCACCAACAGTGTAGGAGGGTTCCTTTTTCTCCACACATTCTCCAGCATTTATCATTTGTAGACTTTTTAATGATGGCCATTCTGACTTTTGTGAGGTGATATCTCATTATAGTTTTGATTTGCATTTCTCTAACAATTAGTGGTGTTGAGCATCTTTTCATGTGCTTGTAGGCCATCTGTATGTCTTCTTTGGAGAGATGGCTATTTAGGTCTTCTGCCCATTTTTTGACTGAGTTGCTGGGGTTTTTTTAAACATTTTTCTTTTTTTAATTTTTTTTTGTTTTTTTTTCTGTGTAATAAGCTTGTTTTTCTTTTGTTTTGTTTTTAATTTTAAGGTGTATGAGGCTGTTTGTATATTTTGGAAATTAATCCCTTGCTGTTTGCATCATTTACATTTTCTCTCATTCCATAATTATCTTTTCATTTTATGGTTTCCTTTGCTTTGCAAAAGCTTATACATTTGATTAGGTCCCATTTGTTTATTTTTGCTTTTATCTCTTATTAACTTTGGGACACTGACCTAAGAAAACATTGCTCTGATTTATGTCAGAGAATGTTTTATGTATGTTCAGTTCTAGGAGTTTTATGGTGTCACGTCTTATATTTAAGTCATTAAGCCACTTTGAGTTAATTTTTGTGTGTGGTATGAGGGAGTGTTCTTTATTGATTTACATGGGGCTACCCAGCTTTCCCAGAACCACTTGCCGATGAGACTGCCTCTTCATTGTATATTTTTGCCTCCTTTGTCAAAGATTGACTGTAGGTGTGTGGATTTATTTCTGGGCTCTCTGTTCCATTGATCCATGTCTGTTTTTGTGCCGGTACCACACTGTTTTGATTACTGTAGCTCTGCAGTATTATCTGAAGTCTGGGAGGGTTATGTCTCCAGCTTTGTTCTTTTTCCCCAGGATTGCTTTGGCATTTCTTGGTCTTTTATGGTTTCATATAAATTTGAAGATTATTTGTTCTAGTTCTGTGAAAAATGTCCGGTAATTTGATAGGGATCACATTAAATGTGCAGATTGCTTTGGGTAGTATAGCCATTTTAACAATATTAATTCTTTCAATTCAAGAATATGGGATATCTTTCCATTTCTTTGAATCATTAATTTCCTTTATCAGCATTTTATAGTTCTCAGCATTTAAGTCTTTCACCTCCTTGGTCAGATTTATTCCTAAGTTTGTTTGTTTGTTTGTTTTTGGATGCAGTTTTTAAAGAAATTGTTTTTTGTTTTTGTTTTTTACTTTCTGATATTTCATTGTTAGTGTGTATTAATCTTATATCTTGCTACCTTGCTGAATTCATTCTAGTAGTTTTTGCATGAGTCCTTAGGGTTTTCTGTCTATAGTATCATGTCATCTTCATATAATGACAATTTTACCTCTTCCCTTCCAATTTGGATATGTTTTATTTTTCTTGCCTGATTGCTGTGGTTAGGACTTCCAATACTATGTTGAGTAGAAGTGGTGAGAGTGGGCATCCTTGTCTTATTCCAGATTTTAGTGGGAAGGCTTTCAGCTTTTCACTGTTCAGTATTATGTTGGCTATGAGTTTGTCATAGCTTTTGTTACGTTGCAATATGTTCCTTCTAGAACCACTTTGGTAAGTTTTTATCGCAAATCGATGTTACAGCAGAGGGAATTCGGATTGCTCCAGCCTACAGGATCAGCTAGGGGGTGGGGAGGGGTTCCCTTGAGGGGCTTATAAGGTTCCCTGGCCCCAGGGTTCCTGGTGTCAAATGGTTTCCTTGCCTGGACAGCTCTGAGTTTTCAATAGGCCCTAATTCCCAGAAGGCTAGTCTTGTCTACACCAGACCACATGCTGGTGACTGGAGCTCTCTACCAGGAACTATGGATGATGGGGAAGTGGCCCTGTGAGGTAGAGGAACGCAGGTGGGAACCTGCTATTTCAGTCCAGCGATTTCCATGCCTCAGCGAATTTGACCCCTCCTGACAATAATCCCACACCTCATACTGAAGGAGGTGTCTCAAAGGCAGTGCTCAGTGGGCAGGAGCCAAGGCCAGAGGGGCTAGAGGGGCCAGGAGTTCTTGTAGATTCTCAGTCAAGGTCCAGCTCATCACTGTAGCCAGCCATGAGGCCAGGCAGGCTGGGAGAGGGAAGGGGCAGGGACCCTCACACATCCAGAGGCTAGAGATGCTATTGGCCAGTCTGAGACAGAACTGCTGGCTCTGGGGCAAGGTCCTCCTAAGGGCTCTGAGTACTTGGAGTCTACCTATCCCCCCCAACTGGTGCATAGCCAAGGTCCCTCTTTCCTGGAAATTCTGGTTTTTCTTCACCATCCGTTCCTCATGGGGCTAGTCCTCTTTACTGTTCAGTCACTGGAGCTGACAGAATTCCCCAACACACCCAGTCACTCTCTGTCCAGTGCCAGCCCACAAACAGCCCCCAGAGCCTCAAGCGTTGCCAAATGCTGTGTTTATTGGTCTGTTACACTGAAGAGTATAGTTTCTGAGCCAAAAAAACATACACACTCTGCTCCTCACAAAACCACTGAGTCACTAAGGCAGGCACACAATGGCCACCATACTTGATGGAGGCCGAGGACTCACACAACAGGTAGGCAGTGGGGCAGGCTGCCCCCACACAGGCCGTGCAGCGCCTCGGGCAGGGCTGGGCTGGGGAGACTGCCAGGTGCAGAGTGGCTGCTGGGCCCTTTCCCGTGTTTCTCAAATGCAGGACGTCTCCAGACCTTAGTGACCTCTGGGCAGGCCCAGCCCCTGTGGCATAGTGGCCTCCTGGCCCCAGAGCAAGGCCTATCCTGCATGTGTTGATGGGACGGTTAAGTGTGGATGACAGAGCAAGCTGTGTGACGAGGCCAGGGGTCAGGAGCTGGGCCCTTCCTAGCACCTCCATAAGTGAGGTTCCTCCAAGGGGGTTTCTGGGTCCCTAGCATCCTCGGCATCCTGAGAAGCATGTGGAAGAAGACCTAGCCTTGCTTCTCACCAGGGACACACTGGGGAGAGCTAAGCGCCCTCCCCTCCGCCTTAGGGACTCCGGAGATGCCTTGGGTAGATGACAGGCTGCCTTGCGCTCTGAACCCATCCCTGAGAGGAGGCCATGACAGGGCTGCCTCGTAAAGACCACCCTGGGGTTCCTCTCAAAAGCAAGTGCTCCCACCACATTCCAGTTCATTCAGGTGGCCAAAGCGTCGTTTATACAGTTTTCAGGGATGCATCTGACGCATAAAGCACGAGCAGGTGTTAAGAATGAGGCTGTACAGGCACATGTGGGTGCACTGTATGGGCTGGGGGAGTGCATGGGGTCACCTCAGGTGGCCAAAGGCAGTGTTAGTGCTGCTGAGGTGGGTTGCTCCCACCCAGGGCCCACGTTGTTGGGCTGCCCCAGTCTCTGGGGAGGATGTGAATGCAGGTCTCCTGCACCCAGAGCACCCCCCAGCTGGGGCTGGTGTGTGCACATGCACTGGACCTGCAGAGGGACGCTCAGCAGGGATACAGCACAGGGTCCCCTGGACCCACTCAGGTAGGCCCAGGCAGCTACAGCCCTCCTAACTACAGGGCCCCAGGAGAGGCCACGAGGAGCTGCCCAGGCCGAGGCTGCCAGTGGCAGTGGGGCTATCTCCAGGCATCTGAGAGGGGAGCAGAGTAAGTGTCCCTCAAGGCAGCCACTCCAGGAGGCTGACCTCTCCCATCCTGGCCCTGATCCGAGGGCTTCCTGGCCCCTGACTCGCCCTGCAGGGCTAGCACTGCCTGGAGTCGGATCCCAGGTTTACAAGCACTTTGTTAGGAACACAGTTGAACAGGCGGGGTTGGCTGGGGCACCTCCCTCTGCAGGGCCCAAGGGCCCAGGAGGCTCTGGAGGCCCTGGAGCCCAGGCTCTGGCGGCTGCTGCCTCCCGGCCACAGCCCTCACTTGTTCTCTATGAGCATCTGCACCTTGTGGACGAGGTCCCGGGCGATCCGCAGGATCTCCTGGGCGTCATGATGCTCAGCCCGTTCTGGGGGAGACATGGGTAACTGTGGGGATGCTGGAGCGGGGGCAACAGTCTGGGAGGAGCCCTGGGGCTGCCCACCCTGCTCTGTTTCCAGCTGGATTCCTGCAATTGCTTACGGGACAGGGACCAGTATTGCTGAGAGCCCCTCCTACCCTGTGCAGGCCAGGAGTGGAGGCTCCCGCTCCCTGGCTGGGGCACGGCCAAGTGGCTCCTACCATTGAAGAACTTGATGATGTCGGTGAAGTCCATGTTGTTGTCGCGGATGATCTCGCGGTAGGTCTCCACCAGGGCCAGGGCGATGAACAGGACAAAGTGCTCTGATGAGATGTGCCGGGCCGCCCAGATCACCTCCCACACAGCAAACACATCCTCATACGGCAGCTCTGGAGACAGCAAGGGGCCAAGGCTGGGCCTGGCTGCCCACGGGCCTCTGGACAGAGCCTTGTGCTGAGACAGAGCTCCGGGGAGCCAGAGTCCTGGGATTCTCTCCACTACAGGAGCCAGTCCAGGAGAAGGGGTCTGTGCCCCAGGCCAAAGCCCCACCTTTCTCCTTGGTAGTTCCTGCACACCAGCCTCCTGCAGATGCCACACCACACTCAGCTAGAGCAGCTCACTTTTATAGGCCTTGGTGCTTGTGAAGATTTGGTTTGAATGCAGTTCTGAAAACCACTGCCTTTGGGTGATTTTCAACCCTGGCTGCACTGTCAGGTCACCTAAGGGCGTTCAAAATTGCCGATGTCCAGGCTCCCACATTAAGTAAGTGTGGGGCTGGGTGGGGCCTAGGGCTCCCCAGGGTTTCTAAACTACAGTGTGGGTTGAGAATCACTGACTTTGGGGAAGAGGGATCTCTCACTGCCCCTGACCCCAGGCCTATCCTCCAGCCCACCTCTTACCTCTCTTAAAATCCAGCAGGAACCAGCGGTAACAGAAGTAGAAGTGAGTGTAGTCTCCATTCTGATGCATCAGTTCAAACAGCTCTGAGTCCAGGATCTGGTGTGTGGATAAAGGGAGCCGGACTGAACCAGTGCTGCCGCCCTGCCGGAGGCCCCCCACTGTGCCTCCCGGGCTGCCCCACAGCTGCTCTCGCCACTCCTGTCTCCTCGGGTGGACGCTGCACTCTGCGGCCCCACCTGTCTCTGTGGGATATACTCTCTGGAATTACACCATTTCTGGGTGATTTCATCACCAACCGCACAACTCATCAGAACTCTCATGAGCACGAGCTGTCACCCTTTAACACTCCTCAATTTGTAAGGTTGAAATGATGTTTTTTTTTTTTCTTTAAAGGAAAGAAATTAAGCTTATAAGTAAAAAAACACTTTGGGAGTGCACCCTAGCCTCCCTGTGGACAATGAGAAAGCCCAGAGCAGCTCGGTCACTTGCCCAAGGCTGCTGCCAACCTTACCTGGATGAGGGAGCGCATGTTGGCAAAGTGGGTGTCCATGGCGCCCCCATTGGGGAAGTTCTGGCTCATCCTCTTCATGAGGTGGCTGAAACAGCTGTAGGCCAGCTGGTCTGTGGGGAGGTGGGCATGAGGCCGGCAGGGTAGGAGACCCCAACGCCTCACACCGCAAGGGGACGGGGCTGGCTTACATCCCCACCCTGGCAGACCATGTGGTCTCCTTTTCCTTTCTCCAGCTTGAGTTGGCCCAATCCCAACACCATTTAGGGAACAGCCACCCCCACCCCTCCTCACCATTGTCGAGGATGACCAGGAGAGGAGCCAACAGGTCGCACATGCCCTGCACGTATCCCACGTCCAGGTGCTCCCACACATAGCTGAAACGCCGGGGATAGTCGCTGTGGCTGTGCACCATCCTCCCCTCCCCTCAGGGACTCCTGGGGAGATGGTGCACAGAGCAGCCTGCTACCCAGAAGGTAGCCTCTCCAATAACCTGGAGCACGATGGCAAACGACCCATAGCCGCTGTCCTCAAGGCTCTCAGGGGCTCAGGGAGAGGGATGGGACAGGCGTCACCACCTGGTGTGCTGGGGTGGGGCATCAGCTAAGGCTTCCTGAAGAAGCATGGCAAAGCTGAGAGCTAAAAGACCTTGAGAATGAAGAGGGGTGGGGTGGGAGGCACAGCAGACAGAGGGAGTGAGTCGGGGCAGGACAGGGGAGCAGGCGCTGCTGGGCCTAAGCTTTCATGGGGCAGGGTCCCCGCCTCCCACTGAGCTCTGCCCCACAGTGGCACCTGCACATGATGTCTCGGAGCCTCTCGAGGTTGGGGGGCGTGAAGTACCAGTAGTTGCGGTCACATCGCTGCACATCCTTGTCAATGCGGTGCAGGTTTAAGGCCACGGTGTCCAGTAATTCTATCTGGAAGAGTGAAGGGCTCTCAGTGGTGAGTTGGGGGCCAGAGGTGATGCCCAAATAAAGGAATGCAGCAAAGGCAGGGAACCAAGGGACTCAGAGAACAGAGTCCTCTGGGGATGCTGAGATGAGCTCAGTTTCCCCTCCAAGACAGTCAGGGTCCCCCTACCCTCCAGCCCATCAGCCCCTGACCCCAAGCTTTGGGGTGTCAGGACTGCCTCTGGGGCCACTGAGAGCAGTGCCCAGGGGACAGGGAACGTCCACATACAGTGTAGGCGGCAGCGCACACAGCCACAAGCTCCTCCCCTGCCTCCAGCTCGCCAGCCCGTGAGGCCTTCTCCTGGCTGGGATCTTGGGACTCAGAGAAAGCCTGGGCTGCAGGGACCGGCGCATCACAGCCTTCCTCCCCGCCGCCGTCCTCCTCCTCAAAGCCCACGCTCTGTCCCTCATCTATGCTCGACTGGATGCCCGAGGCCACGGAGTAATTGCGAGAGGAAGGCAGTCCTGAGTCTGGAGAGTCGAACTCCACTGACTGCTGCTCCACCATGGCGGTGCTGGGGGGCCCGGCCCCCACCCCCGGCTCAGGCTCCGGTATGGGATCTTCCAGCCTTGGGGGCTCCAGGTCATCCACAGAGACAAATACCTGGTGGGGGCAAACAGATGAAGGGGCTCACACTTGCACTCCAGCACCATCCCACCGCTCATCTCTCCTTCCAGGGTCAGACTGAGAGGGATGGAGAATTCTCACAGCCCCACTCCCACACCATGGCGTTCAGCACTGCCAGCCCCAGGCACCAAGCAGCCCCTCTGACCCAGCCGACCAGGCTCCTGAAAAGCACGAAAACAGTCTTCAGCCCCATCTGGCCTCACTGGTGAGGAAAAGTGTGAAACGCTCCAGGGCAGAAGGGGAACTGGAGGCCTGGACACTTGACGGCCAGGGTGAACAAAGTGTCATCCAACAGAATACAAGTCCTGAGGCTGCCTCAGGTCAGAACGGCTTCCGGTGTCAGTGGGGCTTCTGCGGCAGTCTAGGGATGCGGCAGGCTGGAGGGGTTAGGAAAAGTAAGTCCTTCCTCATTGTCAGTACTGATGCTCAGTAGAGCAAGGCAGGACGCCTCCCTAGCGAGGACCACATCAGTTACATTAGCTGCAGACAAGCTGAGAGGTAAGAAGTGAAAAGAAACATGTTCTGCTCATTGTAAACAGTCCAATGCCACCAGACAAATCACAGGGAAAAGAAGAGACATACACTTTTGTTTCATTTTGGTTTTCTATTTAGACTATGTAGGGTACAGATGTTAACAGGAGTTTTCACTTTGGGTAAGAAGCATGAAATGCTGTTTGGTTAACATCAGGTAAGGCCATGATTCTGAAGCAATCCGGAGCCTGAGAACAGTGCCAGTGAGAAAGGCGACTTGTGTCCATAAGCTAAGCAGCTGGGGCACTGGTACAGACTCAGGATTTTACAAAACCCAAAGCCAGATAGAGAATATGTTCACTAATGGAGATTAAGAACAAAGCACATGGAAAGGAGAGTGTGTCTTTGTAGTTACATTTCTTTCAGTCCTGCTCCAAAAGTTTTATGTTAGTAAGGAGTTACATAACAAGAATTATACTACCTGAAGAGGCAATTTTAAAGAAAAAACACAAGTTAATAAAAGAGTGCCCTGAAAACTGAAACTTATCAGTTCCTGTTGGCCCTGCAGCCATTGTTTGGGACTTGATGTTCACCTAAAAGGCAGGAGTGACACCAGAAGAACTACACAGGCTGTGAACGGGCTCTGCACAGTCAGCTCTACAGGGTGATGCGGGATCTGGCCAGCGGACACCACGGGACTGCTAAAAGTGTTTCCCTGGCCCCTAGCCAACAGCTCCCAGTGCACCACTACAATCAGGGGAGAGTAGAGCTGAGAGGGGGCACTGAGGCCCACAGATGGAAGAGAAGTGACTTGTCTTGTCACTAGTGGACCTGGGACTAGAATCCAGTGAGGCCCATTCCTAGCCTTGAGGTCTCTCTACAAGGAGAGAAGGCCTCCCTAATTCCCCACTAATCCACCTTCCTCTACTAGTCCATTAAAACAGAACACAGTGCGCCATGTCACTTCATTCCCGCAACACCCAGAGAAGTGGGCAGCAGGGGACCAGCATCCCACTTTTCAGTGGAAGAAAATGAGACTGAGACACAGACACAATAAGCCATCCTCCAGGGCTCTGCGGCCAGTGGGCACTAGAGGGCAGGCCTGCCATGCTGAGGGCCCCGCCCCCCACCCCCAGGACCCCGCAGGCTCACGTCATTGCTGATGGTGGAATCTCGGTGGATGAGGCGCTGCACGTGGCTGTCGATGCTACTGCCCGAGGAGAACTTGGTGAGTGAGGCTGGGTGAGCCTCCCGCTCCCGTTGCCTCACCACCACCTCACAGGCCTTCCACTCCGCCAACACCCGCTGGTACCTCGCTGCCACCACCGTGTCCACCTGTACTCAGACCACAGTGTGAGTGTGGGGGGAGGGGTGCCACAAGCCCTCCTCTGCAGCTGTCCTCCTGGCACAGCTGGAGACCAGGGTCCGGCCCAGGGGTGAGGATAGTGGGGCTGCACTGCTAACACTTTCCTCTGCCCTGGGAAGAGACTGAGGTTCCCGAGGCCCCCACCCTGGGTTCCCATGGCCTGGCTCCCCGTCTCCCTATCCTCATGGGAATAGGCCCCCTCACCTGCTCCATCTCCTTCTTGCTCATGCCAAACTTGTAGTGGCCAAGCAGAAAGGGCCAGACATCCTTGCGGATCTCGTGCTCCACGCCTCCATAGTAGACCTGCCGCAGCAGCTCCAGCTCTTTGTAGTTCTGAGGGACCCAGGGAGTCAAGACTATGCAGCTCCTGCGGTCACTGCAGCCCAGCTGGGTGACCCTACCCCCTGGAGAGCTGGGGCTGGGGACAGTGATTTGTTCGGTCACTCTGCTAAAGCCCAGGCAAACCTGGCTTTGGACCTGTCACATCCTCTGCACCCTAGACTAGAGCTGGATGAGATCTGCTTGAACCCTGCTCCCTTCCAAGGCAGACATGAAACCCAGCAACATACAGATACCTGCCCAACATTGTGGAGTGATGCAGATGCAGAATGGACTCCCTGCCAGGCTCTTTCCCATTGAGACCCATGGGCCTAGTCAGTTGTCTGAGGCTACTGTGACCCAGGCCCTCCAAGGCTATCAGTTTTACCTGAATGCCTATTGGGTTTGTGAAAGCTGCTCCCGAAGCAGGCTGGTCTGCTCTCACAGCTGCCCCCCAGCCCGTCAACCCGGCTTCTGGCCTCAGCTCCCCAGACTGCGCACCTTTTCGTCCTTTTGATACTTGCTCCACACGTCCTTGGTGAGGCCCCCTGAGGCCCCCGGGGGCCGGGCAGGCGGGATGATGTTGTGATGCACCAGTGCTGATAGGTGGGTCCGCACCGTGGACAGGTGACGGCAGTACGCCAGCCCTGCAGGAGGTGGGGGAGCCGGGAGGCTGTGACCCTGTGACCTGGTGCCTCCTGCTTCCCCTCCCCACCTTGTCGCCCCACTTCACCCCACACTCACAGCCATAGAAGGCCCGGGACACGATCTGCCTCTTCATGCTCTCACACAGCAGCCTGAGGGGCAACCTGTGGAATCAACCTGACTCAGAAGGTGGCTCCTCTGCAGGAAGGAGGATGAGAAGGATGGACGTGCTGGCTCAGGGGCAGCTGAGGCACTTGGGGTGGCACAGGAAGCAGGATCTACAGCTCCCCAGCATGTCAAGGGCTCCCTGCCCCTCCAGCCACTCTGGGTAGATCTGCTGGGGTCCCAACCTGGCCCCCAACTACCCAGGAGACCTTGGGCAACTAACTTCACATTAGTGAATCTCTTTCCTCATGTGGAAATGGAGAGAACCATCTGAGGGTCATCAGGAGTAACAGGTAAAAGAGCAGCTGGCAATCGAGGTGGGCATGTGCCCCTGACACAAACACCCTCCACACGCTGTTCCTGGCATGGGGCAGATGCCCAGATACCTGCTGAGTGTCTGCAGACGTCAGCCCGATGGCAGGATCCAGGCCCACCTTGGGAAGGAGGGCTCCAGGTCCCAAGCGCCTGCTCTGTGCAGGCACAGCTCTGGGCACTCACGTGGGTTACACACCTCACTCAGTCCTCACGAGTACTTTAGGAACAGGGGCTGTGATCCCCATTTGACAGATGAGGACACTGGGGTTCACAGAGACTCAGCAACATGCCAGTCACATGGGGAGTGGAAGTGAAATTCAAACTCAGGTGTGTCCAACTTGAGACCACCCTTTCAGGCAAGTGACAGCCCCAAAGGACAGTGACACACGCATGTGGATGGACACGCCCACTCACCGGTCAGGGACACAGCTGCAGTGGCTGGGGGCTGTGTACGGGGAGCTGCTGGTGGAGCAGGAGAAGCAGGAGGTGCCCTGGCTGCACAGGGGTTCCAGGTGCCAGGCTGGCAGGCTGGGCCCTAAGCCCTGCATCTCGATCATGTCGCCGGCACCTGAGGGCAAGAAGGCGGCCACGGTCAGGGCCTGGCAGGTTTCCTCCCTAGGCACCCTGCCACATGCCCACCTCTGTGCCCAGAGCTGCAGCATGAAGTCACCCATTGGTGGAAAACCACAGGGGTGGTGCCTGCCTGGTCCAGGGTCCGGAGCCCAGAGATGGAAGTGGTGGAGAGAGAGGGTGCCTGACACTCCCCGGCCTCCACCTAGTCTTTCTGAACGTGATAAGATAGTTTCACTGAATCACGGATGACTGTGTTCTCTCCATCTTTCTATAAGCAATGGAATAGACACTTGTTTTGCTAGAGGGAGGAGAAAGAAAGATAAGGAACAAGAAAAGCCTGAGCTCTCTGAAATGCCACCAGCTGGCCTGGCCTTCCAGGACTCTGCCTGGTTCTCCTGGGCAAACTCTGAGATGTGCAGGAAGGTGCCTGGAACACAGCAAACTTCGAACCTTCCCATGCCAGGAGTCTCAGCTGATCAAGCCCCTGAGCCACCGGGCCTGGTCCGCAGACCTCACCACCTTGAGAGTTCTAGACCTTGTGGCCAGTGGCTAAGGAGGAGCAATGCTCCCTGCCCAGGTCAGGCGCCCTGCTGCCACCTCACGTGGGTCCTCTTTGAGTTCTCCATCCTCGCCTGACTGCATTCAGCGTGATGGCCTCCTGCAAACACACAGGTGAGCTGGCAGGATGGGCAAAATTCCCAGGTCTGCCAAGGCCACTGGGCAGATGAGGGTGTAGCTGGACACACAGTCCCACTGTCCAGAAAAATGTGCCAGGTGCAGCCTCAGAAGACAGCCCTTTGGATATATTTACACCACAGCAGATGGAGCCTCCTCAGCTGGCCCGGCTAGTCTGAATTAGAACTCAAGTCCCTTGAGAGCTTCGAGAGCCCACACAGGGCAGGGAACTGCTCGTGGGGGACTCTGGCAGGTTCAGTGAGTCACAAGGATGAAGCAAAGTGAGGGCAGGAAGTGAAAGGACTAGGAGGTGACGTCAGGAGGGAGAGAGTAGAGAAGACTGAGGACAAGAAGAGAGAGCTGTGTGTGATAAGGAGAACTCTTTCAAGCAGCAGTCTTTTTCTGTGAACTGTGGCCTGGGCCCTGGCCTGCTATGAGTCTGGAGTAGACCTAGGCCTGGTTTTTGTGGGAGCCAGACTTCGGCTCTGGGTGTGCCTTTGTGGGGAGGGCTGAGCTGAGCCCCCTCCAGTCCCCTCAGGGGCTGCCCTGTCTTGGCCCCAGGGCTCTCTTCCCAGACCCACGGCTGGGGTTTTATGGATATCTGGCCTTCAGCTCCACCAGGAGGCAAATTAAGGGAACATACTTGGTGTGGAGGGGCTGCGGCTCTGGGAGTGAGGGGTTGCAAGCCATGCCTGAGACTCTGGGAAGAAGAGGGAGGGGACAAATGCAGGTGGGGTGGGGCAGGAGCCCAGCTCAGACCCCTGCAGCATACAGGAGAGAGGCCAGTTGTGGGAGGAGCTGGGGTGGGGGTGGTGGGGTGGGGGGAGTAGGCCCAGCCAGGTAGGCAGCAGGCAGCAAGCGGGCAGGCAGTGGGGCGCCAGGTGCAGAGGGTGGGCACACAGGGAAACGAGCTCATGCCCGGAAAGCAGGGCCCAACCAAGGCAAGTCTCCTGGGTCAATGCTCTTCACCTTAATTCTCCAGGAAGGAGCTGAACCAGCCAGCATTGAACACTGCATCTCTGAATTAACCCAGTGCAGACAGCTGGAGCTCTGGAGTGACTGGGCGAGGGGCAGCAGGCTGGACAATGGGGGGTCTGCTGGGCCAGCTTTGACTCTGACTCTCTCCTCTGAGCATGAGGAAAGTTTGAAGCAAGACAATCAAGGTGGTTGAACCCCACAGCCCCTAAGACTCCGAGTGAAAGGTGCCTGGCCTGGAGCAGAATTAGAGTGAACAGCATCTCTGCTCTGTGAGGAGGCAGCGGGAAAGGAGGGGGAGGGGGAGGGAAAGGAGAGTCTGGACACCCGCCACTTGATTCACATGCACAAGTCAAGCATGTTGCAGGCCTGAAAAGCAACAGCTAGCAGAACCAACTCAACAGTGTTGTCATTATGGACTGGAGCAGAGGTGGGGGCTCCCACACCATCTCCCCAACCACTGCTGATGCTGCTCTCACATCTCCTCCCCTTTCCCAAGTGTTGAGGTCGCAGGTGCTGCACATTAGGTAGGTCTCACCCCGAGTTCCCCAAGAAGATGCCCAGACAAGATCCAAGGCTTCTGAACCCTGGAGGCCTCAGCTCTAAGAGAAGTCAAAGATGGCTGCCTACTGCCAAGTCTGCCAAACGGGCTCTGCTGGGACCCCCCCATCCTCCAGCCTGACTATATAACTTGTGGGGTGAGAAGGGGCTCCCTGACTCTCCTGACTTAGCCTCCCCAACTGTTGAAAGTCAGCTAACCTGGAAATAAATATCAGATCAACCCCAAGTTTACAAGGAACCAGGTGGCAGGCTGAGTGCAGACAATGAACGTGAGAAGTGAGGCTCCCCCAACTTCCCACCGGCTGGCCTGCAGGTCCCACTGGAAGGCCTGGGAGGAAGGGCATACATGAGGGAGGGAATGTGGTGGGTAAGGGAGCACCTGGTTGTGCTGAGGGTGTGCTAGGTATGTCCTAGGCCATGGATCTGGTTGCTTGTCACAGGTTTGGTGGCTGAGCTAAGGAGCTAGGCTCTTGGGCAAAATTTTGTGAAGCATAAGGAGAGTGTCACATATACCTAGATATCTTCTGCAGGGGCAGGGAAAGGAGAGAAGAAATTAATCTGTGGCATAGGGATGGCCGGGATGGGGAGCGTCCCCTAAACTCTGAGAGAGGTGGCTGTAGCCCTTCAGAACCAAGCTTCCCTGAGCACCTCAGCCTACCCTTCATTGGTCCCCTGGCCGGGCACTCTCCAAAAAGAGTGGGGGTCCCTCTCCACCAGTCTAGCGCTGTGCTAAGGTGGGTGGTGGACAGAGGAGCTGTGGGCACTGTGCTGTGTCATTTCCAATGTGGGGGCCTTTATAACCGTGGACTCAGGTCCATGAGGGCAGGAACACATCTGTCTTATATCCCTGGAAGAGGTATTCCTAGGTTTCATGCTAAAGTGCCAGGCAGTGCCTGCTGGGTACACTAAGCCCTAGGTCTCTTTCCACTGTGGCCTCAACCCCACTCCCGACCCACAGGTGACTCCTGTTTGCTGAGCTGTCCAGTCCCTACCCCTGTCCAAGAGGGGCCTGGTACTTCTGTCCTGTTTCTGTTAAGACAGGAGTCAGAGGCACAGGACCAGTCATCCCAGCCAGCAGGAGAGAAAGAAAGAGACATTGTTTGGGTTTGCCAGCATGACCCCTTGGAGTGGGAACAGGGCTCAACTATTCAAGGTTCCCAAGACGGAACCAGAATATCAGACATCCCCACCAGTATATCTCTTCCCTCTCAGGTACAAAGCCCTCTCCTTACAGATTCAATGCATTTTGTACCGTTCCCTCTTGCCAGCGCTTCCTTCCACTCTCCCTGATCTGCCTCCTGGGTGCAAGTTCCATAATGCCAACACTGCCATTTGAGTCCCTGTGGTGGGTGGCAGGTGGGACCAGGGGGGTGGGGCTGGAGGGTGGGGTAGGTCAGGGAGAGGGGAAGGGATAAAAACCTTTCATCGGATTGGGAGCTGTGAGGTTCCGCGAGCAGATCATTGACAGCATCGCGTGTAGTTTATCCTCCTCTTCCTCATCATCGTCCACCGAGGCCGCGCGGCTGGCCGCTAGGTGGTGGTAGTTAATAGTGACTGCTCAAAGAGAATAGCAGAGACGCAGAGGCATGAGGACCCTAGTCGCGGGGCAGGAGGGTCTGGACTTCCTCCTTTGGGGAGCAGAATGGAGTATGGGTCACCTTGAGCCCGCAGGGCATGGATGAGGGGGAGAGGGACCTGAGAGATTTTGATGAGTTACTGGGGAAGGTAGGGAAGAAAGTGAGGGCATGGGGGCAGCTGCAGGGCTCCACTCCTTGGAGGATGCCCTCTCTAGGAAGAACAGAAGAGAGAGAACTGATGGGGGACCAGGGTAGTGAAAGACGGGGACTCCCCGGCCCTGGCAGAGGCTGGGGATGACTGTTGGCAGATGGATCCCGACCATTCTCCGGCTCGTGTCATGGTCAGGCTGAACCACATCTGAGGGTTACCCCAAATCCCTCTCTTCAGACTGTAAATCCAATCTTCCAGGAGAGCTGCTCTCCAGGAGCATGAGTCACCCCGCTGGGTTTCAGCTTCTTGAAGTGAAGTGACTGGAATTGGGAAACGCCAAGGCTCGAAGAGGGGAAGTGGAAACTGCGTAATCTGAGCCCAGCAACAGCCCGAGATTAAGTGCCAGGTTGGCAAACATGTTCTGGCCAAAGCTGCGTCTGTTTGTCAGGCACATCTGGGAGGGGACAGGGCCCCACATCTCCTGTCCTCCAAGCCTGCTGGGAACTTGAGCTGTGGCTTGAGCTGTGTTTGCAGTCTGGGCAATCTGTCCACTAATACAGAGACAACTTGTTGACAACTTATTGGCACAATTTAGCAAATTTCAGGAGCAGGTGGTTGGCTGGCAATAAATGCTCTGGGCTGGCAATAACCGGGTCTTATCCCTGAGATCAGCAAGTCTGGCCTGGAGAGACCTATGGGGAGCACCAGCTCTCTGACCAGGAAGAGGGCTCAGATGTTGGTAGACATCTATTGCACACGGCCCCTGGGGCCCAGAGGTGTTACGTCCAGACAGGGCAGGACCCACCAGGGCCACCTTTCAACCCCTATAGCTCCAATTCTCATCCTCTCCAGATGCCCCTCACCCCACTCCCACTAGGGTTCTGGCTCTGACAGTGAACAATCTGCACCATCTGATCCCGTACCCAGGCCGCCCTGTGGAGGTCAGGCAGCAGGCTGAGGAGAAACAGAGAGCTCTCTACCTTCTAATTCTAGTCTCATCACATTTTTTACCCTGGGGCAGGGTATGAAAGGATTACCAAGAAAATATTGTACAGTAATGCCTGGATCGGCTGAGCCATGAGTCTGGGGTCACAAGGTGACAGGAAGACAGCTAGGTAGACAAGAGGCCGCTTCTCAAAGGGATGTTTTGTATGGAGAAAGGTTCAGTGAGAGGCTGAGTAACGAACCTCTGGTGTTAACCAGGCCTGGGCAGTGGCCCCTGCCTGCTCCTGCCCGGCCCCCCACCCTGCTTCCCCGGGAGACACTGCACTCCCCTGGCTCCCTGAACCTCTCTCTCCTCCTCCACCAACGAGGTTTGGGACACTCACTGTGCTCATGTCTGTGACCGGGGTAAATGATCCGGAACACGTAGTCAGTGGCCCACCCTGTGCCCATCTCCTCCACGTCCACAGACCGCATGCTGCTGCGTTTCCGTAGCCTGGGGAACACCTTCCCCTGTGGAAGGAGGGGTGGGTGGTCAGCCTGCCCAGGGCGGGGTCCAATCAGGGTCCCCCCCCTCAGGCTGTTCCTAAGAATTTCGTGTGGGGAAAGGACGGGAGGCAGGTGGAGAACCCACCTCACACATCCCTTCACCCAGAGCCGCCCACACCCTGAGGTACCTTCCCCTGCTGGGTCCAGAGCGGGGGCTCCAGCTGTCCTTGAGGCAGAAGCCCATTCTCCAGGCAGGACAGAAAGGACAGCAGGTGGCCCCCCTGAGGGAAGTGCAGCGGTGGCCTCTGGATGCCATCCTGGCTTACCAGCACGAGCGTGCCGCCGCTCTCTGGGGGTGAATGTGGGCCAGTGAGGCTGGGTAGGAGGACAGTGGGGCAGGGGCAGGGGCATGGGGATGGTGGGAGGACAGGAAGTCCATGCATGGTGCAGCCCCTCACCCCTGTGCCCAGGACAAGGGAGGCTCACTTTGCTGGTGGCAGTGGATGCAGACAATCTGACTGAAGGGCACAACTAGGGCGTAGTCCCAGTAAACGCTGGAAAGGAACCAGTTCGGTGTCACTCAGTCCCAAGACCTGCTATCCCGACTTCCTCATCTCCCAGCCCCAACACCCATGAGACTACCCTGAAGACAGGATGACCTTAGCCGAAAAGTGGCCTCGGCCAGCTGTGTCCCTCTGGCCCTGCACTGCTCTCCTGGCACAGAGCCTGGCAGTCTCGGCTGCTTAGAGCTTGGCTCAGGCAAACTTCTCCGTGCCCAGGCTTGACTCGGTCTTAGTGAGCTTGGGAACCTCTCCAGGCAGCCTCTCCCTGCAATTCTTGGCATCGGATAAGGGGTAAGGCCTGCCTCCTGGAGCAGGCTGGGCCTCTCCATCCCCTGCCCAGGAGCAAGCCCCTACTCCCTTCCCTGGCTCCTGGGAGCAAGTCCCAAAGCTCCCACCTCTTTTCCAGCTCAGAGTCCCCCAGAGTCCCGTTCATGAGCTGATTGGGGGTCCACTTCAGAGTTAGGCTCTCTGCAGACTGGTGCAGGGAGAGGTAGCCAGGGACAGCCTCCATGTCCTCCTTCTGTAGGGAGGAGACACAGGAGAAGACAGAAGATGAAGGCCCAAGAGGCTCCTGGGGGTGGCCTGTGCAAAAGGAGCTCCAGGTGGGGGCCAGGCTAGGCCAATCACAGGGTCCTGAACTGGGTGCTGGCAGAGCAGGGGCAACACACACCACACACAGATGTGGGCACCCACTCTTCCTGATTGGTCTGAGGCCACTGGCTCTGTTCTGTCAGCTTCCTGGATGCCAGGTGTGTTCGGGCCAGCCATACTCAAGCTGGGCATTGACCCTGCCTGCTGGCTGCCATCCCTGTCCCCGGATGGCCCTATTCTCAGTTGGCCAGAGCAAAAGCCATTCCCTGGTTCCTGCTGAGCGCAAGGCTGGGTATAAGGTGTGTGAAGCAGTAAAGTGAGGGGTGGGGCCCCTTCCCCCTTCTCTCTGGTCAAGGTCGTGAGGAAAGGGATGAGTGTGGCTGGAGGTCCTGGCAGAAGAAGGCGAGGAGGGGTGGGCACTAGGCTCTCCTACCGGCTGCACCAGCACGTTGTTCTTGCCGTAGAGGAGCTGCGTCCTCGAGTTCTGGTGCAGGGACTCCACGTACTCACGGGCGCAGGCAGCTAGCCTGTCCTCTGACGTGCTGCCACTCGAGTGCCGCTTCTGGATCTGCGCACAAAGTCATGGCTCAGCCCCCAGCCCTGGGAAGTCAGCCGTGGGGGCCAAGGACCCTAGGCCTCCATGCAGATCCTCTCTAGCTGACCCCAGGGGTCCTTCCTGGCCCCGGTTTGCTCTCAGCCATGGACCAGCTCTGTGCTCCTGGCATTTATGTGAGTGACAGTGTGGGGTAAAGGCTCTCCTGGGGTGGCCACTACCCTGGGCACCTCCAAGGCCCAGCCTCTATCTGCCAGGAGCACACAGGACCGGAACGTATCCTGGCTGAGCACAGGGGTAGGAAGAGGGATACCTACTCCCAGGGCTGGGCGCTTAGCTGGGGAGTCCTGGCGATTCGGGGGACCTCGGATACGGTGCCTCTGGACCAGCTCGTCAGCAGAGGGGTCAGTCCAGTAGTGATCGGCAGTCTTGAGCTTGGTGTACTCCAAGACACAGGGTCCCACTGTGGAGACAGGACAGACAGCTTGGGTGGTGCCCCCTTGAAACCTGTCCTGGAGCCCCCACGACACCTGTCCTGGAGACCCCACCTCTCTGTTCCCAGGCTTACCTAGAAGAGATGCCAAGATGGGGCCAAACACAGGATCTGCCAGTAATGCCTCCTTCTTGTAGTACTTGCTGCCAGGGGAAGGAGAGACAGGGTGACTGCCGGGCTCCTGGATTCATTCCAGGGCCATCAAGCTCACCAAGTAAATATGTCCCCACAAAGACCAAACTCATGTCAGTCACCAAGAAGAAATAAGTCCGCAAGGACAGGGCTCTGCAGGGTGCCTGGTGTCGTCTATGTGGTCTACACTTTCGAGGTGTTACGGAGGGGCGGCACATGCCTACAGATGGCGGGGGGCAGTCAAACATGCAGTGGGGTGGGCCCAGGGAGGGACAGTCACCTGCAGTTCTCCACCAGGTACCGCAGGACCCTGTCCAGCACTTTCTCGATGAGCGCTGTGCGTACCCATATGTGTTTCAGGGCCTGCAGGCTGAGGGCTGGGGCCTTCCCGCTGGCAGAGCCCTGTCTCCGCAGGGCCTCCTGGTTGCCTGCCAAGGGTTTCCTGAAAAGAGAGGGTGTGCTTCAGGAGTGTGAGGGCCTGGGTCAGGGGGAAGCTTCAGACTGGTGGCACTGGGACGGAATTTGGTGCCACAGGATGAAAACCCAGAGGACTGACTGGGGTCGGGGCTGGAGGCAGGGGATGGGGCCTTGCACATGAAAGGGTCACCTCCCATGCTTAGGTTGGTCCCTCACCCAAGAAGCCATGCAAGAAACAAGCCCAGGAAGTCAACCTGGGAAACACCAAATGCAAAGAACAGAAGGGTGGAGTGGGAGGAGCTGGCCCAGAGCTCACCTGCCCTCCACTTGCTGCTGCAGCTCCTGCACCTTGTGGCAAATCTCCCCTGCCACTGGGCACGTCTTCCCCACCTTGGTGAACAGGGCTGCCATCTTGTCACTGCGCAGGAAGCCGGCCGCACGGCGCCTCAGCTGATGCAGGAGGCAAGCCTCCACCGCACCTGGGCCACAAAGGGAACAGCCCCTGAGCCTGGGCAAGAGGGAGAGAGTGGAGACACTCCTCTTCCCCACACCTGTGAAGAGCAGAGAGGCTAAGGCAGACCCTGACTCATGCTAGGGCCAAAGCATGCGGTTCAGGCTTAGGCACACCAGGGAGATATACCCTGACCTCCTTCCAAAACGCCGCTCCCTATTCCCCTGCCCCCCTGCCCCCGCCCAGGTAGACCTTTTCCCTCTCCCAGTGTGTACACACCTTCTGTATGCAGTATCACCCTGGGGCTCTGAAGACCAAAGCAGCCAGTGCCCATTGGCATGGGTGGCTCTGCTCACAAGAGGAAGCATAGCCAGCACCTATAGGACAGTGGAAGCAGGGAGCACACAGCCCAGCAGCCCTCCCGGAGAGCATGGCTGATGTGGTTGCTAAGGAACGAGGCCCTGGAGGAGCTGAAATATTGATGAAGCCACTGCAGAGATCAGACCTGAAATGGCCCCTGAATTATTGATGAGCCCTGTAGCCCAGAGTGAGAGATTTCTATTTCCTATGCAGGGAGGTTTCCTTTCATTCATGTTTAGGGGCTAGGCTTACTCTCCCTGTCTGGATCCTGCTTACCACAGACAGACCCCACAGGAAGGAAAGAAGGGCTTTGGTGGGGGAGGGTGGGGTGCTGCCCTAGGCACGTATAGACTCGAAAAATATTAGCATCTATGTGTGGGGGAAGGAGGGGCTTGGCTGTTGTCGGGGCTAGGCTGATTGCTTTACAGATGAGGAGGGAAAGGCCCAGGAAGGGAAAGGGATGGGATTTGCAGTCAAACGGTGGAAGAGCTGGGACTAGGACCTTCAGCCCCAAACAATGACCCAGCCCCCTTCACCCTCTCCAGGTGTGTCGGGGATGGGGGCCCACAGATGGGAGAAGGTCTCCCTTCACTTCACAGGTACTCTTTCTACAAGGATTGTGCTGGAGGCGGGGAGTGAGGACAGGGTCTGAAGCTTGGTGCCACTCGCTACTTCTGGGAAACACAGGTAAGGGACTTAATGCTCTGAGCCTCAGTTATATCACCTGTGAAACGGAGAATACTTCTTAGGGTTGGTGTGAAATGTTACATGAGATGAACTACGTAAGCCTCTCACACAGGGCGCCCCTGATCCCTGTCAGTTCCTGAGTCCTCACCTCTGTTTGTTGAAATTCTGTTCCATGCTGACCCATAAGGGCTGGGTTTTTGCAAGCCCTCTCTCTGGCAAGGAGAGAGGACACACTGGAGATGGGATCACCGGCTGCCCCAGAGGTGGGTGGAGGTGTCATTCTCTTAGGAACAGAGGAGTTGAGGCCCCATCAAGCTTACTATGACTAGTATTAGGACACGAAACTTGGGCTGAGGAGGTAATCACTGAAAACAGAGGCTCTCATCTCTTTTCTGCCTTCATTTTTGACAGTCACTGCTGTCCTATAAAAGAGTTTTGTTTGACCCTCTCTTGCAAGAGAATAAGTCATGAAGTTGGAGAGTCCCTGGGGCCATGTGGAGGCTGGCCAACCCAGTGCGAGCATCCCAGGGGAGGGGGAACAAGGCAGGACCCTTCCCGCTCCTGGGAGCTCAGGCCTCAGAGGAATTTACTTCACAAGGTGCAGACTTTCCTCCATGGCGTGTTCATGCATCTGAGCCCACGTGTGCACAGACAGGTATATCTACAGGTATCATGTGTGTGTGGGGCATGTGGGGGAATCTTTGCTTAACTGTCCACATACTCCTCTTCCTGGCTGTCTCCTTGGTCCCTGGAGGTCCTGTGTGACCCTGGGGTGTACAGGAGAGTAACTCTTTTGTCAAGTCTCTAGGTCCTGGGGCTGGTGCAGCTACAAGTTCACACCTAGAGGAAGGTGGTGACCATTTCCTGGGGTGGCACCCTCTGTTCAGAGCAGGACAGAAGCAGCACTGAACAGGGCCAGAGTGGCAGCAGGTGGCACCAGTCCTGCAGGGAATCATGTGCCTCGCTGATGTGACTAATGGCCAGGATAATGAGTCATTAGCCTTACTACCTTCCCCAGGCAATTGCACGCACAGCCAGGCTGGGGAGCCTGGGACTGGCGGGCAGCAGCCAGGCACTCCCATCCCACTTGGCCTCACCCACCCTGCTGGGCAGCCTCTGGGCACAGGCGTCAGGGTTCCCTGGGTGGGCAGAGGCACTCCTCAGCAATTTCTGCAGGTAGGGACTATCAAGAGAAGCCCAGACACCACACCAGTGCCCTCGCTCACCCCACGGCCCCTAAGTTCCTGCTGTGAAACCCAGGCAAGGTGCCAGGCAACGTCTGGGGAGAGAGAAATCCCTCTAAAAGCTCCACCTTCCAGGCAAAGTAAATGACCCTCTAGCCTAGATATTCTACACCTGGTTTCACAGGCTCCTGGGCCAGTGATTATCTAAACTACACTAGTCCTTCCCCATTCCCACAGGGCTGTCCCCCAATGCAATGAAAAATGTTACTGTGTGCAGCATGTAGGCAAAATAATAATACAATAATAACACTAATAATAATTGAGAACCACTATGCTAAGAGGGTTTGTGGATGGGCTTCTGGGCCTCCCAGAGACTCCCTAAAATTGCACACAGAATCACTGGTGTGCCCCCACATGCTCAGCTGAGTGCTTTTTTTCTGGATAAAGGATCCTGGGCTTTTTGTTTCTAAAAGGGTTATCTGATCCCAGAAAGTTTTAAAACCCCACTCTAAGACTTTTGGGTTGAGCAGGAGCACAGACACTACCACTGATTGACACTCAGAGATGCAGCCATAATGATGCCCCCAGCCTCTCCCCACATACACTAAACCCACACTCAGAAGTGCAGTGGCAGAGCCCTTAGCAATAATGTCCATGCCCCCCAGGAGGGCCCCTCACAGACCATCAAGCACCCTTCCCCAGGGAGAAGTCCACACAGTGGCCTGCACCTGGTCTCCTCTCCTGAAGGAGGGCCGGACCACCAACAGGACCCCACCCCCAGGGTGGACGGCCCTGGCAGGAGACGCCCATCTTGGCCAAAGCACAAGTCAGCCCACTCCATCCCCCTCCTGACTGAGCTGCCTGGGCCCTGGTCCCCAGCCATGATGTGAAGGCTTTGGGAGCCCCTCCCAGTGGGTCCCAGTACCACGTGCACTCACTCTGGACTCCCCAGAAGAGCAGGGAGACAGCCTTGATGTCATTCAGCTCATTTCATATAAGAAAAACACATACTAATTAACAAAAATCAATCCTGTTCTTTTCACTGGTTGGGGTGGAAAGGTCTGGGTGAACGAATTGAAACAGAGAAACAGACATGACTCAACAAGCATGATCCTCTCACTCCTCACCCTGGTCTTCTGGTAGCCTCTGGAGCTACAGAGGCAGATGAACCCTGGGTACCCTCTCTATTCCGTCATCCTAGCCCAGTGACAGCATGACTCGGGGAACTGTAACTCTGAGTGGGCAGGAGTGGGACTAATTTTAACTCTAGCACCTTGCTGTGGACATCGCACCTCCCCAACAAGGTCTGGCACCATCTTCCCAAGGAAAAGCTGGGAACTACAGGCCCAGACTAGCCCTGGGGCTCTCCCTCACCAGCCTCTGACTGCCCCCAAAGTCTACTGAGATATGGGGCTTCACAAATGCTAAATGGGCTGGAGACCACAAGTGCTAGTGAAATCTTACAGGGCCTCCCACAAACTCCTTACACACTGATTTAACCACTCTAAGGAGTCTAATTTAGAATAGAAGAGACTTCGGTAGATAGAGATGGAAGTTACTGAATGTTCCCAGACTTCACTGGAGGGTGGGCCGACTGGTAAGACCCCTGTGGTGGCAACAGGGCGCTATCTATCAACACTGCAAGTAACCTCTGACCTAGTAGCCCCTCTTCTGAGGGCCTTGCCTACAGACATAACTGCAAGCTTCCTCCGTTACAAAAGCAAAAGGCTGGGTGATGAATCTATCCGTCGGTAGGGGACACGTTAGGTAAACACGGTACATTCACACAGCATAACAACCTTACACCACTCTGGAAAAAGAATGAACATGATTTCTAGGCACTAATAACAGAAAGCTCTCCAAAAGCAAGATTCAGAGCAGTATAACTGCATGATGCCTTTTGATTACAAAAAGGGTGGGGTAAACAAAGAATGCAATTTTTTAAAATTAGGGTTAAAAGCTCTGGAAGGATGCATAGGAAGTAAAAGTGGCAGTGGTTACTGGTGTGGGAATTGGTAAGCAGAGGGGAAGTGGGTGAACAGGGGCAGGGAAAGGAGTGAGACTTTTCACTGGGTACCTTTTGTGTTTTGATTTCTGAACCATGTAAATATATTATCAATTCAAAACAATAATTATAATAATTAAGTAGGTGACCATCCAACCCAGATATTAAATTCCATCATGAGAGAATGTCAGAGATTCTCTCCAAACTGGAGGTGAACTGAAACTCACAGAAACCAGACAGGCTGAGTCTGTCCATGGGCACCCACTCTTTCACCAGCTCCCTCACCGAATAGGGTCTGCAGATCAGTTTGGCTCCCCACATCCACAGGAGCATCTGGGCTCTGCTTAGGGTGGCCACGGGTGACGTGAGTTGGGCAGGGACCAGAGAAACAATTCAGAGGGCTGGGACAAACTTAGGTGACTCAGGAGCCCACAAGAATGGACTAAAGCCAAGGCCACCCAGGAAACACAGCAGTGGTTGAGAAGGGTCCTCAATCGGCCCCGGCTCTCACAGGCATAACCACGTTTAAATTATGCTCAGCAGCCAAAAGACCTGGACCAGTCTGGCCTGGTAATAGAGGGACCCACTGAATGGACTTCAAAGAAGTAGGTACGTTGGTTGAGGCAGAGGGACACAGCATCCAGAGTTAGCACAGCCTGACATGAAGGCTGGGCCTGAGGCTTCGAGCCAGGAGGGGCTGATGATGCGAGGAGCAAGTATGCCAAAGCGTCCCCTGCTCCCCACCTCTGCCAGCTGCCATCTGTGCAGCGGGGGAGTTCAGATTCCAAGCGA